GCTCTGACAGAAACTGCTCTTTTTTCAAGAACACCTCTGACAGAACTATGGCCTGCCCAAGGTCATCCAGCAGCTGCAATTGCAGGAGTGGGGAATCAAACCCGGTTCTCCCAGATTAGAGTGCACGCACTTAACCAGTACACCAAACTGGCTCTCTCATTAACAAGGAAAGCAGAGCCTAACCTTGAATTCTGTCTCTCCTTATTCCTCTCCCCTTCTAGGGAGTAGGCCCGTTTGGTGCAGTGGTTAGGAGCGCAGACTCTAATCTGGGAGAACTAGGTTTGATTCCCCACTCCTCCACATGCAACTGCTGGTGTGACCCTGGGCCAGTCACAAGTGGCTTTAGAGTTGTTCTCTCAAGGGCAGTCCTCGAGAGAGCTCTCTCAGCCTCGCCTACCTCACAAGGTGACTGTTGTGGGGAGGGATAGGGAAAAGGAGATTGTGGGCCACTCTGAGACTCCTTCAGGTAGGGAAGGGGGGGTATAAATCCAATCTCCTCACTTTCTCCTCCTCCTCAGGACAATGTAGAGGGTTCTGTTCCATTTCATCTTCTCAGCAAACCTTGTGGTGTAGGTTAGCTGCGAAGATAGTGACCGGCCTGAGGTCGCCCTGTGTGCTTCCTGGCAGAGTCGGGATTTGAACTCAGGCCCCTCAGGCCTTAGTCTGATCCCTTAAACATTACACCCCCCTGGCTACCTCAGTCACGTCTTGGCCACTTAGGCAACTAAACAGACAAAAATTAAATGGGTGCTCAGCGTCACACACATGAAGTGGCCTTCTACTGAATCAGACCAGAACTCCAGACGACCTCCCCCTGTTGCCCGCCCAGCACCAAGAAGACAGAGCAACTCTGCCCCAGACATAAGAAATGCCACGGATCAGGCCCGTGGCCCATCCAGTCCAACACTCTGTGTCTCACGGTGGCCAAAACCCAGGGGCCATCAGGAGGTCCACCAGTGGGGCCAGAACTCCAGAAGCCACACACACACACTGTGGCCCCCCAGGCACCAAGAAGACAGAGCATCACTGTCCCACACAGAGTGCTCCATCTATGCCTTGTGGCTAAGAGCCACTGATGGACCTCTGCTCCACATGTTTCTCCACTCCCCTCTTGAAGCTTTCTGTGCTTGTAGCCGCCACCACTTCCTGCAGCAGTGAATTCCAGGGGTTAATGACTCCCTGGGTGAAGGACATCCTTTTGCCTGTCCTAGCACAAACGACCCTGAATCGTGCCCACTGGAAAGTTGACCTGACGTGGGCCTCATTCCCTCAAGCAACAGGTGAGGGGGTCCTCCAACCTCTCTGTAACCCAAATGTAATCTTATTTTTGCCTGGACGAGTACCCCGGGCCAGGCACGGCTTTGCAAAGTTCTCATGTTTTTGCCTGAGCAGCCGCAGTCTCAATGCTTGCTTCATCAGAGGCACCGGCCTCCCAGATAGGTGAGTTCTTGTGGCATAGAGCATAGGCGGAGGTGGGAGTTCAGATTGGTGCCCGAAGGTCCAAAAAAGGGCATGTGGGAGGGTAGCAGCTGTATTCTTGGGGTCCTCCAACCTCTCTGCAACCCAAATGTGGTCTTATTTTTGCCTGGACGAGTGCCCCGGGCCAGGCACGGCTTTGCAAAGTTCTCATGTCTTTGCCTGAGCAGCCGTGGTCCCAATGCTTGCTTCATCAGAGGCACCGACCTCCCAGATAGGTGAGTTCTTGTGGCACAGAGCAGAGGTGGAGGTGGGAGTTCAGCTTGGTGCCCGAAGGTCCAAAAAAGGGCATGTGGGAGGATAGCAGCTGTATTCCTGTTGGAGGAGCTGGGTATGTTTAGTCTGGAGAGGAGATGACTGAAGAAGAAGAAGAGATTGGATTTATACTCCGCCCTTCACTTGGAGTCTCAGAGTGGCTCACAATCTCCTTCCCCTCCCCACAACAGACACCCTGTGAGGCAGGTGGGGCTGAGAGAGCTCTCGAGAGAACAGCCCTTGAGAGAACAGCTCTGAGAGAACTTGTGACTGACCCAAGGTCACCCCAGCAGCTGCATGTGGAGGAGTGGGGAATCAAACCCACTTCTCCCAGATTATTGTCCGCGCTCCTAACCACTACACCAAACTGACTTTCTGAGAGGTGATACGATAACCTTCTTCCAACTTTGAAGGGCTGTCCTTGAGAGGATCATAGAACCATAGAGTTGGAAGGGGCCATACAGACCATCTTCTAGTCCAGCCCCCTGGCCAATGCAGGACCAGCCTAAAGTATCTCTGACAAATATTTGTCCAGCCTCTTCTTGAAAGCTGCCAGTGAAAGGGGGCTCACCACCTCCCGAGGCAGCTGATTCCACCTTTGAACTGCTCTGACCGTGAAAAAGTTTTTCCTAACATCCAACCAATACTGTTCTGCATGTAATTTAAATCCGTTGCTTCGGGTCCTCTCCTCTGCTGCCAACTGGAACAGCTCCTGGCCCTCCTCCAAATGACAGCCTCTCAAATATTTAAAGACAGCAATCATGTCCCCCCTCAACCTCCTCCAAACTAAACGTTCCCAGGGCCCTCAGCCTTTCCTCGTAGGGCTCAATCTCCAGACCCCTGATCATCCTCATCGCTCTCTTCTGCACCCTCTCGATTTTGTCCACATCCTTTTTGAAATCCTCCAGAACTGCACTCAGTGTTCCCTCTAAGCTGTGGAGTCTTGTGAGCAAGAATCCTACTTTGTGAGCTACTGGCATTTAAAGTTGTGAGCGAGCAATCTGACTCCTGCATCAATTAGTTTGCTCTGGAGCCATCCTTCCTGAGCTAAGACAAAAATGTGTGAGCTGGAGGCCCAAAAACTGTGAGCTAGCTCACACTAACTCAGCTTAGAGGGAACACTGCTCAAGGTGCGGCCTGACCAAGGCAGTATACAGAGGGGCGATGACCTGCAATTTCGATGCCATGGAACTGAGTTATTTTCTGTTGCCCCAGAAGGTTGGGGCAGAACCAGTGGACTGAGATAAAAAGTCTTGGCTAAGCATTAGGAAGGACTTCCTGAGTCCCGACAGAGTGGCTCCTCAGTGGGACAGGCTTCCTCGGGTGGTGGTGGGCTCTCCTCTGAAGGTTTTTTAAAGCCGAGGCCTAGCTGGCCATCTGGCAGCAATGCTGCTTTTGTGAACTTAAGCAGATCGTGAGAGGGAGGGCAGGGTGGGTCGCCTCAGTGCTCAGTTCTTGTGGCCCTTTCTTACTTGCCCAGGGAAATGCTGATTCGGTGTCAGGAAGGAATTTTCCTCCAGACCAGAGTGGCCCAGGGATCCTGGAGTTTTTTTTTTTTGTGTGTGTGTACGTTCGAAAGCAAGAAATTGCATGTAGATAAATAGGTACCACTTTGGTGGGAAGGGAACAGTGTTCCGTGCGCCTTGGTGTTTAGTCATGCCGGCCACATGACCACGGAAACGTCTTCGGACAACGCTGGCTCTTCGGCTTTGAAACGGAGATGAGCACCGCAACCCTAGAGTCGGACTTGACTGGCTTTCGAGCAAGGGAAACTTTACCTTTACCTTATGTTCCTCTGGGCATTGAGCAATGCTCCCTCTCAGCTGTGGAGTCTCGTGAGCAAAAATTCTACTTTGTGAGCCCCTGGCAACACTGGTCCCTGGGGGGGCGTGGGGGGGGGGCAGGTGTGAATTTCCTGCATTGTGCATGGGGTTGGACTAGATGACCCTTGGGGGTCCCTTCCAGCTCTACTTTCCGTTCCTTGCTCTCACTTTTGTCAGTCCCTTTATGAGTCAGCAGCTTGCCCGTTCCCTCCCCCTAGATCGATTTGCAAGCACTCTCTAGGGAGGGAGGGCGCACCTGCCTTCTTTTTATGCCATGAACAGGTTTCAAGCCAGACTGGCCCCCTGGGGGGGGCTCGGCTTTTGACAATAACCCCCTGACAAAGAGAGCGGAGCGGAGGTCAGCGAGAGCAGACAGATGGCGTTTGCCTTGCCAGGCAGAGCTGCTGTACAAACCAAACTCTCCACTGCTTACGCAGGGCGGGGGAAGGGGGGGAATCGAACCAGCTGCTCTTCAAATTGCTGGCTGCGAGCTTCTAACTCATGCAGGACTTTTCCTTCCAGTCAAGATACAGACCTGGCTGGAGGCTTTGATTTTTGGAGGGATGTGTGTGTGTGTTAAAATGTATTTATTTAAAGATTTGTACCTCGCTTTTCTCCACGACCTCCGCCAGTCTTATCACCACAACAACCCTGTGAGGTAGATCAGACCGAGAGAGTGACTGGCCCAAGATAACTGAACCGTCTTTCCATGACTGAGTAGAGATCTGAACCTGGCTCCCAGGTCCTAGTCCGATTCTAAACCTTTTTGCGCCTGTGGCCACGTGTGGAATTCTGACACGGTGTGGTGGGCGCAGCAACAAAATGGCTGCCTCGAAATAATGGTCGCAGGAGGAGGTGCCAGCCACAAAGAAGAAGAAGAAGAGAAGAAATTTGATTTCTACCCCGCCCTTCACTACCCGAAGGAGTCTCAGAGCAGCTTACAATCCCTTTCCCTTCCCCTCCCCACAACAGACACCGTATGAGGTAGGTGGGGCTGAAAGAGCTCTCCAGAGAACTACTCCTGAGAGAACTTGTGACTGACCCGAGGTCACGCCAGAAGCTGCATGTGGAGGAAGAGAAGAAGAGATTAGATTTATACC